CAGTAATTCTGCCATTTTCCCTCAAATTCCCTTACGGGCGGGAATCCTCCGCACACCTAGTAGTTTCCATTTTCTTTTCCATAATCCTAGATAAGCCCAATGTAGTCCAGGTATTTCAGCCGGCTTAGCCAATGAATCATGGCAGCGCATCTCGCTTCTCATCTTCATCTTCTGCGGGCAGTTTGAGAGGAATCAGTTCAGGCAAGAGGCCGGCAGGGAAATCGGGGACTTTGGCGATCCCTTGAAGCTGGGCCAGTACACTCCTGAAGTGCGCCTGGGTGAACTGGTGAACGGGCGTTTGGCCATGCTTTCATGTGCCATCATCGCCGGCCTGGAGTTCTCCAATGGAGTCCCTGCTACGCAGGTATGGTTCCCCTTGTAGAAAGCAGCGCGTGTTGCAAGAAGAAAAATCCTTCTCTGACCGTGCTGTGCTTCTGTGATGTCCAGCTTTTGGGTCTTGGGGCCTGAGCAGATCACAAGAAGAGCTTGTCCTTCGCAAAGAATTGGCCCGCAACCGTGGGTCTAAGAACCCCAGGTCCCAGGTCCTCAAGAGATTGAGGGTGTAAGTCAAACATTGAAAAAGGGAGCAATCTAGGGTTTTACACAGTAGTAGCTATAGCCAATAATCACAGTTACCTTATTCCTCAAACGCAACCTTTTCAAACTCTATAGTGTGTTATTAAACCTCGAAGCCCCAAGCCTGAATCCCAAGATCTACCACGGTGGATACAGAACCCGGGAAGCCCAACACCTCTGAATCAGAGAGTATTGCTTGCGCACAGATGGCAGTTTCCCAAAATAGGGGGGAACCCCAAAATGTTATAATCCGTATTCTCGGGACCCCCCGCAAAGGGTACTCCTCATTTATGTCTTATTCATAGACCTCAGCGTTATCCAAACTTCATCCCTGAAGCTTTCTGAAGCTCCCTAGTAGCATCCCGTCAGTGTCTGTGGGAGCCCTAAGCTTGGTGTAAGATGAAGAGAGCGCGGATAAACCAAAAAGTTCTAGAACCCTTCTTGCAGAACACCCAAAAAGGGAGCCGCTCACTTAGGAGCTCCTTGCAAATTCTTTAACTTGACAGGTCAGACACCAGAAGATGTGGGAGTGATTCAAGTTTCACCTGTGCAGCCGGTAGGTGTATGCAGGGTTTTGCAGCACAAAGACACCCTTCTGGGCCATATAGGGGAATATATAGATTACAAGGGGACTATGAGTGTTGCTATGCAGAAATCTGAGGGATGCATTCTGAGTCACGCCCATATGCCGGATATCCTGGTAGAATCTGGCTACGTGACGGCTGCATGGCAGCCTATCACAAACTTAAGTAGGAACCCTCATAATTCCTGGGTGGTTTCCATACATCCCTAGAGTCACCGGGTGCCCTTTTGGAGAAGCCCCCATATGCAGAGCCTGCTTTTGGCATGTGATTAGAAAGCCGGATCTTGAGGTAAAGTTGCGGCGCTGCAATGACTTCTCTAGGTGTTCTGCAGCTCATACCCCATCAGGGTTAGAGACATATGGTAGTTTCCCAGAACAGGGGGACCCCGATATAGACTAAACACTATAATCCAGATTTGAACTGAGTAGTTGTCTACGGATTGCACCAGCGTTTCTCAAGCAGCCTGCCGAGGCTCTTTCCACTTGAGCTATAAACCCGGGCCCCGGACCTTTACACGTTTGAGCTATAGTCCTCATAAAGGGGACTATAATAGGGATAATGGAAAAGAAAATAGAAGATACTATAATGGGGATATATAGGGGTATTATAGAGGTATATATGAGCTCGAGTCTAAACTCCTAAAGGGGGATTATATAGGGGACTACTATGGGGGGTTATTACGGGGCATATTAGGAGTTTAGACAATGGCTCGCTTGTCTTTCTGCGTGTACAAGGGTTTAGGGTTTAGGGTTTAGGGCATTCATCCAAGAGTCGTTCTGTTGTGCTGTCCTTGGTTCAAGCTTCAAACCGCGGGGACGCGTGTGATCCGTGGGAGCGGCGGCGGCACCTTGGATGACATGGGGGAATTCCAGAAGAGCGCATGGCTTAGGGTTTAGGGTCTAGGGTTCAGGGTTTTAGGGGGTCACATGACACAATTAAGGATGATGAAGAGGTAAAGGCATATGAAACGGAAATTGCCATTTTGTAGGGGTTGTGAAGTATTTTATGCAGGGATGCTACAGATTCTAATACCGAGGCAGATTGTATTCTGCTTTTGGGTGCAGTCTTTGGAGGAAGTTCATCTTAATTACTTGGTCCAACCACCAAGACTCATTATTCGTATGCGTTAAGGGCTTAAGGGTTGGGGATTGCGGCTTAGATGTTCAGATATTCAGATATAGGGTGTCCAAAGACTCGAGGTGTAGGGATAACACAGATCCCGTGGATTCCTCGAGAGACAGATGGAGATCCCTTCAAAAAGGAGCTCAATTTCCTAGGTACCCCTGTGGTACCCTTTTGCCCTTTTTTTTTGGGGTCTCCTTATTAAAGCTGAATATTAGGAAACAGGGTACCCTTATCATTAGGGGGCTACTGGGGAACCTAATTTAATATCAAGAACTTACCTGCTTGGTTGCCAAGCACACTCACCTGCCACTGCAGGGGGATGGCCCCGCCGCAGATGCCTTCATGGTGGAGAAGGCAGCTTAGACAAACATGCCTGCAAATTGATTCTCCTGGCACGCAGACGATCACTTGCAGCGATGAGTGTCATCGTACATGAAGGTATGAGAACCCCAATAACCCATATAGTAACCCCACTTCTCCCCATTATTAACCTACTTAAGAAATCCCCTGACCCTCCAAGTAGACCCCTATGTAGAGATTGCAAAGGCATGCCCGCCGAGCCATCCTACCGGTCGCAGCCTTGGTCCTGTCTTGTGAAGTTCCGGTTCGAAATCCATTCACCCACCCAAAGCCCTAAACCTAATGGGACCTTGCTTTTGAAAGCTGCCCACTTCCTCTGTCAGAAAAGGGGGTACCTTTGCCTGGCCGGTGCCCAGGTCCCGGCGTGGCTGCTTAGCCTGCAGGGTCCACAGTTCGTGCGTTTAGTGCTTGGTGACTAATGTTTCTCACCCATTATCGTATGGAAGCAAGGATGACTCTCTCAATCTCTGACTCTCTCGCTCCCTCTATGTATACAAATAGATCCACAGATCTGTTCGTTTGTACATGATATGGAAGATGTTTAGGTTGGAGGGGCGTGCTGGTACTGGGAGCGGATTCCAGGCTTAGGGCAACTCCTGCACAGAGGATCGCATGGCGTTGGGTATGGGAACCAAACCAGAACTTACTGCTGCTTAGTGTTTCTCGCAGAGGAGAAGGAAGGAAGTCCAAACATGGTCCCTCTACTGGGTTGCTGTTAAG